GATCTCAACCCTTCAATGTTTATGCGGGATTAGAGCTTCAATCTAATCCATTCCATCTTCTACCACGAATGTAAACACCCCTTTGGTCCTCCATGCTCTCAAACTCACATACCCACAGACACACACTGGTGTTGGTTTGCTCACTGAGAAAAGGTATCGCTATGGAGCCCTGGTTGGCCTGGAGCTCCCTATATGGACCATGATGATCAAGCGTCATCATTATTACTAACTCAACACTACCTTCTAGCAATCATTCAACAGGTAATTACTAAAAATCAAACTGTTAGCTGGCAGTGATGGCACATGCCTTTAATACCAGCACTCAGGAGGCAGAAGTAGACAGATCTCGGAGTTCCAAGGCCACAAGGCTAGCCTGGTCTATAGAGTGAATTCCAGGACAGCTAAGGCTACACAGAGAAACCCTGCCTCAAAAAAACAAAACAAAAACAAAAAAACTGTTCAGTTTCCCCAAATATTATTTGAATAAAATCTCAGTTCTAAAACAGGTTACAATCTAGTTAGCATTTTCAAAGAGAAGGGAAATATATAAATGAATATGAAAAGACGATAAAGCTAGCTCAGAAGCAGAGTCCTTGCCTAACAAGCACAGGACCCTAGATGTAATCTGCAATACCAGAAAAATTTTAAAGAGAATAATACACATAAGAAATTAGAATATTCAGTATTCACATCTACATGTGAAAGAAATTTTGACATTAAGAATAAAAGAGGCTTCCAAGAAGCTTAGTTAAATAAGATTTCCTAAAAGAAGTAGAACGGTACTTACTTCCCACATCTATGGTGCTGACCTTAACTCCATATACAAACTTTGAAAACAGACTCCATTCTTTTTATTAGTTTTTATTCTGTGTGTATACATGCATACACATGCCACTTGCATGTAGAGGTCAGTGGACAATGTGCAGGAGTCAGTTCTCTCCTTCTACCATGTGGGTTCTGGGAACTGAACTCAGGTCATCAGACTTGACAGCAAGAACTTTTACTAGCTGAGCCATCTCACCAGCCCTGACTCCATTCTTCTAAATGAGCATCATAGATTTGTCCACCATATGTTCCCACTAATCCTTTACTTAAAAAAATATGAGTTATAGCGAGGGGCCAGCGACATGGCTCAGTGGGGAAAGGAGTCTGCTGCAAAGCTTGGTGACCTGAGTTTGATCCCACAGACAGACCCACAAGGTAGAACTGACTCACTCAAATTGTCCTCCATACTTACATCATGGTGCATGTGCATGCATGCTGTGTGTGCACATACAAAATAAATAAGTGCAATTTAAAAAAAATGTTACAGTCAGACATAGTGGTGCATGCCTATAATCCCACAAGACTGAAGCAGAGGGATTCGGAGACCTAGGTAAGCCTGGACAACTTTGCAAGTTCCCGGCCAGTCTGGAACCATTTAGCAAGGCCCTCTCTCCAATGAATGAATAAATGAACAAACACCTCAGACACCTGGAATGAACAGTCAGGGTCATTTTAACACATTCCCATGTTTCATCAGCTCTAGCTCTCCAGAAGACTGCCAAAGAATACACAACCTGGTAGGCTCCTCCTCCCCATCTCTAACCAGCAAATCTAATGCTGCAAAGACGCTGTTTCCTACAAGTCTTGTTTGGGTCCAAACCTCCCTTTATCATTTCACCCAATACTTCTACCTACTTTAACAAGCCCTCTTCAAGAGAGCCAGGCGATGGTGGCGCAAGCCTTTAATCCCAGCACTCGGGAGGCAGAGGCAGGCGCATCTCTGTGAGTTCGAGACCAGCCTGGTCTACAGAGCTAGTTCCAGGACAGGCTCCAAAGCCACAGAGAAACCTTGTCTCGAAAAACCAAAAAAAAAAAAAAAATGTTAGAAGAGTTTAAAGTCTCTTTAATTTTATGTGCATTGGTGTTTTGTCTAGATGTGTGAAGGTGTGGGAGTCCCTGGAACTGGAGTTACAGACAGGTGTGAGCTGCCATGTGGGTGCTGGGAAATGAACCCTGGTTATCTGGAAGAGCAGTCAGAAGAGCTGTGCCATCCCTCCAGCCCCTTAAAGGCTCTTATAACACAATGGGCAAATCAAGAGATACAAACTCAAACAAATAGTTTAAAGTTTCTAATTTGAGTTTTTAAGCCTCAAAACTTAAGGTTTAGGTAGGGCCAGCGAGACGGTTAAGAGGGTAAATGTGCTTTGCTTAATGATACTAGCCTGACGACCTGAGTTCAATCCCTGGAACCCACATAAAGGTGAAGGAGAAAAACCAACTCGTGAAAGTTGTCCTCTGACCTCCACACATATTCATCCTGCTAGACATGTGCCCACACACAACAAAATTGCTTTAATTTGAATAAAAATCAAATTTAAAATAAAAATCCTAATATCAAGACTTAGGCACATCATTTGAAAGTATAGACCAGAATGGAGAACAAAAAGAGAAAACTTCATCCATTGCACTCAGGAACACTGACTTCTATAGTCAGTCTCCAGAGTGCTGGTGATGTCACTTTGTAAAGAGACATGATGGGGCAGAGCATGGTGGCATACGCCTGCAATCCTGCACCCTGGGCTACCTAAACCAAGCAGAAATGATAAAAGCATACCAACTACTTAGAGCTGGAGAACCACGAACTACAAAATAATTAATGCTTAGAAGTAGCACAACTGTGTGGGAGAACACAAGTTGACAGAGCGATAAATATGATCAAGTACATTATACATATGTGTGAAAGTGCCATAAGTGACCGTTATCTTGGACAAAGTGTGCTTTTTTTTTTTTTTGCTGTTTTGTTTTTCCGAGACAGGGTTTCTCTCTTAGCAGTCCTGGGTGTCCTGGAACTCGCTTTTGTAGACCAGGCTGAACTCAAACTCACTGAGATCAGCTTGCCTCGCATCCCAAATTCTGGGATTAAAGACCGCACCACCACAACCTGGCTGTGTTTATTTTCTTAAGGTGTAAGACAAGAACAAGGTTAAGAAAACAGTGGGCTGGAGTTGTAGCTCAGTTTATCCAGTTTGTAGTGTTTACCCAGCAGGCAAAAAGTCTTGGATTCAGCAAGCAGTGGTGGCACACACACATAGCACTCAGGAGGCAGAGGCAGGTGTGTCTCCATGAGCTTGGGGCCAGCCTGATCTAGAGAGCAAGTTCCAGGACAGCCAGGGCTACAGAGAGAAACCATGTTTCAAAAAATCAAATAAATAAACAGAGTTCTGGGTTCAATTACCAGCACTTCATACACTAGATGTAGACAGATGCCTTTAATGCCAGAACTTAAGGAGGCAAAAGGTTCAGAAAGTCATGGTCTACGTGATGCCCCTGTCCCAGGAACAATGGAATGGATCTGTTGAGTTTGGGAGCAGGGTCAGCACAGCAGGCAGCAGTCTCTGGAAAGAAAAACTGCAACTGACAGGGTTTGCTTTTCATTGCTGGTCCCTTCAGAACAATCTTTAAATTACATATATACACTAGGGAGGCAGAGGCAGGCGGATCTCTGTGAGTTCTAGGCCAGCCTGGTCTACAAGAGCTAGTTCCAGGACAGGAATCAAAAGCTACGGAGAAACCCTGTCTCGAAAAATCAAATAAATAAATAAATAAATAACGTGCATGTTCATATTATTCACAAAAGGAAAACAACATACTATATTTAGGTGTGTTGTAGTAAAAGAACTGACAGTATACAGCACTAGTGGGGGAAATGAGCCTCTCACACAATAATGACAATAAAAATAGGTACATCATATCAACTCAGCCCTTTTTAAAAGTGACCAAATCAAGTTGGAAAACAACTCATCCGTTAAAAAAGCGCTTCTTCCAAAGGACTCAAGTTCAGTTCCCAGCACCCATGTCAGACAACTCAAAACTGCCTGTCATGCCAGCTCCAGGACATACAACATTCCCTTCTAGCCTCCTTGGGTACCCCCACATCCAAGGCATATGTGCACACAAACACACACACATACATAAAAATAAAACCTTTAAAAGTGGTCAAATCTAAATGCACTAACAGGAAATTTTCCAAGTTTTTCAAGACAAATCCTGATTATTTCTATTAAAAAAAAAAACTGTAATGGAAGAAACCTCCTCCCCCACCTTAAGTAGCATATTAGCTAGAGAAATGAAATCTTTCCTGAAAGAATGTGGGGTAAGAGTTTCCCATTCCTCTCCCAAATTTTCTCTTTTCCTTCAACTTCCAGAAAAAGATGTCACATTGAACACACTGATCCTCTCTTCAGTTGAAGTAGTATTACAACATATTATGTATGTAATTCCTCTTAACAATAAAAGGTAAATACTATTCTGGTAGCTCTTAAGACACTGACCTAGCCATGTAGTGGTGCATGCTTTAATCCCAACACTCAGGAGGCAGAGGCAGGTGGATCTCTGAGTTTGAGTACAACCTGGTTTACGAAATGAGTTCCAAGACGGCAAGAACTAGGGTTTCAACAGCAACAAAAAAGACAAGACACTGTTCTCGCCCAATGTTCCTTCTTGAAAATCCGGTCTAATGTGCTCTCAGTAAATGCACCAGAAAGAACCTGGTTTCCTGACATAGGGATGCTAACTGGCCCTTCTCACCAGGCCTGGACTCATCCTGCCACTTCAGGTTCCCTTAGACATCATGATCAACTATTCTCGACCTCCTTATAACTCAGATCAGCACAGATAGCATACAGCCTCCATTCTGCAGGCCTACATTTTGCCGGCAGATGTTCTTTTCTTCAGTAACACCAAGCCTCGGTGACAGAGTACATCCAGAATTGTGAATGGAGAAGGATCTCCCGCCAACACAAGGTATAAAACCAAGCCAACTAGACTCCTTTGGGCTACAAATGGAGCCCCCAAACAACGGGACTACCATGCACCAATTCTCAACACGCACAATTATAATCTTGTGTCCTGCAACCTAGGCTGAAATATGGCACGGCTCTTCTAGAACTGTGGACGCTAGGGAGCGAAAAAGAAAACCTCCAGGCCAAGTAATTCCTATTCCCATGTCTGCCAGGATGGTGTTCAGCCAGCCTCCGGTAAGTGACAATACTCCAAATCTGCAAAAATTCTAAACTCCGTGGCCTCAAGAATCCCCACAGGCCCGGCGGTTTCTCAAGGTCTCTTCCCAAGATCTTCGGTTCAGTAGTGCGGCACTAAAACGTCTCAAGCCAACCTACAGACTAAGTGACTGATTCTCAGTGACCCCCAACCACAGCGGGGACCCACACTTACCGGATGTCATCTACTGAAGAGCCCAAACAGGTTCTGAACTAGGCCACTCTGGCCCATCTGGAATAACTCTTTAGACCTTGGGCCAGCATTTGATAATTATGCTACATCTGTCGATGCTATTATGCATTCCCTGCATCTTCTCTAATATTTTGCACTCCTCTGGCTTCAAACGCTCTCTCTTCTATCCGCCGAAACTACTCTATGCCTTTCTTTCCTTGCCTTGGAAACGTTTCGATTCTTTCCATAATGAAACACCTAATGTATCTGCACAATGAACACCCCCAGAATCCTCAAGACTGCTCCACAGCCACCCCCGGCATTCCTCCACCTATCCGGTATCTTCCCTCCGGCCCCTTTCTCCCCTTTCGCACTCCCACTATGCTTCCTGCAAGCAATCCCCTTTCTCCAGCCCCTGCCCTTCCCTGCAGCCAAAGAGCACACCGAGGCAGCAGCGGCGACCGAGGCCTGCGGTGCATAAAGCACTGCACCAAGACGGCGGAGAGCCCTGGGGTCTGGCCGGCCTCCTCGCCCACAGCCTGGCACCCCGAGGCCTCTCCGCAAGCATCCCACCTCCTTCCTACCCGATACCGGCCGCAGGCCTCGGAGGCCGCCAACTCGCCTCCACCGCCCCCGTCATTCTCCGTTCTCCAAGCCCCGACCCACCATCCTCGCCCCGCTTCCTCGCGTCCCCCAGCCCCGCGCTCCCGCGGCCTGCACCCGCCGCTTCCCGGGCCGCCCCCGGCTGGCCCGCCGCTCCCGCGGGTCAGGCCGCCGCCGCCGCGCTCCCCCCCCCCCCCGCGCGCCGCCCCCTCCCCTCCCCCGCCCTCCCGGGCCCAGGCCTGCCAGGCCGAGCGTTTACCGCGGGCTGGCGCCGAGGCGCGCGGTCACCGACTGCAGGCGGCTGCGGCTCCGACCTTCCCACGGGCCCGGCAAGGAGGGCGAGGGGGAGGGGAGAGAACTTTTGCTGTGGCAGCTCCGGCGACAGCTCCCACCCCTGCGCCTTTCTCCTCTTCCTCCCCCTCCTCCTCCTCCTCTTCCTCCTTCTCTTCCTCCTCCCAGAGCAGTCGAGAGGCAGACATGGCGCGGCTAGAGCGCCGCCGCGGTCGCCGCCGCTGCCGGCGCGGTGCATTGTGGGAAGCCCCGCACACAGGAAGCGCTCCGGGCCGCCCGCCCTCGCCTGGCACGGAGATCTGGCTGCGAGACCCAGCGTGGCTCTGATTCCGGCGCCTGCGTGTCAGTCGCGCAGCGTGGCCGGGGAAGCTGGCTCCGCATCGCGCTTACCCCTGATGGGCCTTGAAGGAAGACGCTTTGAAATAGATCGGAGCCGAGAAAGCTCCTGGGAGAAGCGTGCACCCCTTGAGGCTGGGTGCGTAGCTGGCGCCCCGAGAAGTGAGGAATGGGGATTAATAGCGGTCCGGGCCCAGGGAAGTGGAAGGGGCGGGAACGTAGAGGAAAGGTTTGGCCAGAATTTCTTGGATCCTTCCTTTATCCTCTTACCTGGCTAGCCTCTCCTCTGCGACTCCAAGCGTCACCTTTTCCGGAAGATGCAACCCTGTACCCTTGAAAATAGAAAACCTTGTTGGAGTCTGCAAACCGTAAAGCAGGATGTGGGCACCGTGAAAAAAAAAAAACATGAGATCCCGGTCAGGACTTTGTTGGGCCCAAACCTCGTTCTGCGGGCCAACAAAGAATGTATGGTTATGATCTGTAAAGACTGCTCAGTTGTCCTGTCTTTTGGAGACCCTTTGGTGACCTTCACTAAATCGTGTCCTTCCTCTACTAACGTGAGGACTCTGCTTGCCTGCAAAGGGGTGACTTACAGTTCCTCACCTTTGTACCCACATGCTAGTACAAGGTCAGCTAGGTAACCTAATCTGTTGAGTGATTGCTGAACGGGTAGCAGGAACTTTATGAGATGGAGCACCTTCCTCACGGTTTCTTAGTGAATCTCAAGGCTTTATTTAGCACCTCCCTGCAATACTTAAACATAACCTTTGAGGTGAGAGGGAAAGAACATTAAAATATCTACATAACCATTTCTGGAATTCTCTCCTTGTCCACACCCACCTCCTCACCCCTGGACGTTCATCTGAATCGTGCTTTTGGCAAAGCTCCAAACTTCCGAATTATGCACTCGTGCTGACACGGAATTAGATTACTGTCTGAAAGGTAAATGAGCCCCCGCCCAGCATTAGCCTTACATTCGTGATGCCCGATTGAAATAGCTGAGGCTCAGAAGTTCAGCTGCATTCAGACACAGGTAACTAGGAAATGCAAGGAGAAGCCAACAGCTCCACGATAAACCCTCCGTTCGATTTCTCCACTAAAAAGTATAAATTTTAATAAGATGACAGCGCATATTCTGAATGCTAATTGTAACAAAACAGTGATATAAGCCAGAGCAAGGGACAGTTATCTGGAGGACAGCCTTCTGGCAGCCTCCAGCAACTGCAATGGCATCAAATTCAGATTTAAAAAAAAAAAAAAAAAAAAAAAAAAACAACTGCAGCTAAGAAGCCGTTTTAAGCTGTGGAGAAGCTAATAAGAAAGAACTGAAAGCCTAGGGTTGTACCCAGTGGATTAAGGTGGATAGGATTGTTACTCTTACTAGGAATAGATCTTATTCTTTGTTTCTGAACATAATTAAGAGGCAATGAGGACACAACCATCTTAAGTGGACAGAAGGAAGAAGACTACAGATCATGGGCCAAAGGAAGAGTGATCATCTTAGGCCCTTGATAGCTTAAACCTCTAGAGATACTTCCTGGCCCATTTGTTACCCGTGCTGCTGTTGCTTACCTCCCCAATGCCAGCCCTAACCATTTAGCTTGCTTCCTTTCCTTCTTAATCCCTTTTTTTCCCTTTTAAAATAGTACTGCCGAGAGGCTAGAGAGGTAGCTCAACATCTCTGAGCACTTGCCGCTCTTTTCAGAGGACCCAGACTTGGCTCCTGTCATCCACTGCATTACTGCAGCGACTTCCTCTTGTGGCCTCCAAGAGCACCTGCGCACACAGCAGGTGCCACACACTCTCCGCATTAATAAAACTAACAAAGAAGCAAGGACCAGCAGGAGGGCTCCGCAGGTAAAGGCACTTAACTTCACAAGACAGGCAGATGGGGAGAAGCAACTCCGCAAAGTTATCCTCTTAACCTCAACATGTGCACACACTAACAATAAATAAAAATTTAAAAATAACTGGACTCATAAGACGTTACAGATACAGTGCCAAACACCCCACTTATTCTTCACCCAGCTTTCCCCAATGGTATAACAAAACTCTAGAAAGACATCACTATTAACAAATTGACAAGAGCCTATGATTGTTAACTGGTCCACAGAACTCTTCAGTATCTGTGACTTTTCACCCCGTGTGCTCAGAGTTTGCCTCTGTTCCTGCGTGCAGAGCTGTGCTCCTGTCCCTACAATGAAAATATAGAACCACTCCTTGCAGATACAGTGGCACACACCTTTAACCCCAGAATTTAGGCAGCAGAGGCAGTCAGATCTCTCAGACAACCAGGGCTATGCAGAGAAGCCCTGTCACAAAAGAACCCCCTTTTGCCACCCGTTAGGGTTTTTATCTGCACTGCCCCTCTGCAGCTCAGGTGTTGAAGACTTGGCCCTCGGTGCACTGGTGTTCAGAGGTGGGGCTTATGTGCGGTGATGCGAGCCTCTGGGCTCTAACCTTACCCAAGGATTACTACGATACCCCAGTTTAATGATTTGCCCCAGGTGTCAAATGTTGGTTTTTGTCGCTGGGTAGCATTGTGTTGCTTGGATACACCAGAGTCCATTCATCCACTCACCATGACATAGATGTTGTCGCTTGTTTGCTGTCGTCACTATAGACTTGTCGTTCTATGTCTTGGTTGGTTTTTCCAAGTGCTGAGGATTAAACCCTGGCCTTACATAGACCAGGAATGTGCTGGAATACTGAGCTTCATCCCCAGTCTGTGTATATAGTTTCTGTGTAAGCTTAAGTTTCTGTTCTCTGGGGTAAATGCCCAGGAATATGACTGATGTGTCATATGGTACATGCAATTTTTTAAGACAGGTTCTCACTATGTAGTCCTGGCTGTCCTGGAACTTGCTGTGTAGACCAGGCTAGCCACAGAGTCACAGCGATCCTTCCTTCTGTACCTCCTGAGAGCTGAGATTAAAAGCGTGGGCCACCACCCTCAACAGCATGCTTTTCTTAAGAAACTCCTCAGAGGCAAGTACATCTCTGTGAGTTTAAGGCTTGCCTGGTCTACAGAGCAAGTTCCAGGAAGGACAGCCAGGGCTGCACAGTGAAACCCTATCTCAAAAAAAAAACAAAAGAAAACAAAGAAGTTCCCATACCGAGCTAGGGATGGAGCTCAGCTGGTGAAGTGTTTGCCTGGCATACACGGAGCCTTGGTTTCCATCCCAAGTTCTTCATAGAACCAGGCCTGGTGGCACATGTCCATATTCCAAGCAGGTAGAGGCAGGAGGATCAAAAACTCAAGGTCATCCTCAGATATACAGTGAACCCGAGGCCATTCTGAGATATCTGAGGCCCTATTAAAGATAAAAGGAAGGAAGAGGGAGGAAAAGAAAGAACTCACTATATTATATTCCAGAGTGATTATATATTTTGAAATAATTTTATTACATGCATTTATTTATTATTTGTGTAGGTGGGGGTACATGCCACTTTGAATGGATGAACATCAGAGAACAACTTGCTGGAGTCTGTTCTAGGGATTGAACGTGGACCACAGTGCCCTTGCCCACTGAAACAGCACAGCCCTGATCCTGTCCTTTCCCACCCGGCAGCAATATCTGAGAGACCCAGTCACTCCCATCCTCGCTGGCATTCTCCAGTGAATGGTGTTGGAATGAGTATTAGTTCCGTTCTTCTCCTTTAAAAACAAGTTTCTCAACACTCTCCCGACCCCTGCTTTCCTCAATGAGCTTAGGAAAGTACACGGATCCTTTGCTGAAAGATTTCACTACAGACAACCCTCACTGGAAAGTTAGGAAGCCTCTTAAAACATTAAACTTTGTGTCTTTTTAACTTTTTTTTTTTTTTTGAGTCTGTGTGTGTATGATGGGAGGAGTTTGTGCCATGTCACTCTTGTGACTGTCAGATGGCAACTCTGGAGTCGATTCTCCCTTTGCACCTTCATGCGGATTCCAGATGGACTCCGGTCAGCAAGCCTGCACAGCATGCGCCTGTGCCAGCTGAGCCATCGTTCTAGCCCTTTCGCTGGGATCTGTTAGTTCAGGAGCCACGCAGGTAGCAAGCCCCATGTGCAGCAAGTCAAGCCGGTGAGGCGAACTGAATGAGGAGGTGTGGAAACAGTTGATAGTCAAAGGGACGGAAGAGGCAGAACACTCCAACTGGTCCAGAGGTCACAGCCGCTGGCCACAGTACCAGCCGGCAGTTTCCAGGTTAGGAACATGAAGATGAGGAAATAAGAGAAATTGGGAATTGGAATTGAGGGTTGATTAGTAACTTTGTTTGTCTTTTTCTACAGCTTGGCTAAGTGGTGCACATGTTTAGTCGGGAGGCAGAGGCAGGTGGGTCTCTGTGAGTCTTAGGCCAGCCTGGTCTGCAAAGTTCCAGGACAGCCAAGGCTGTTGCACAGAGAAAACCTGTCTGCAAAAACAAAAACAAGGGGGCTGGAGAGATGGCTCAGTGGTTAAGAGCATTGCCTGCTCTTCCAAAGGTCCTGAATTCAATTCCCGGCAACCACATGGTGGCTCACAACCATCTGTAAATGAGGTCTGGTGCCCTCTTCTGGCCTGGAGACGTACACACAGACAGAATATTGTATGTATAATAAATAAATATTAAAACATAAAAACAAGGTCTTGCGTATCCCAGGCTGGCTGACAGTTGCTGCAGACTTGCTATGTAGCAGCAATTGTCCTGCAGCATCCAATCCTCCTGCCTCCACCTCCCAAATGCTGGGGTTTACAGGTGTGCACCAACAGGCTCAGCATTTGTTTATTTTGTTTGTTTGTTTGTTTGTTTTGAGACAGTCTCACATAGTCCGACCTGGCCGTGAACACTTGATCCTCCAGCCTGTATCCTCCAATTGCCATGATGATAGTAATGTACTACCATGCCCAGCTTTGACTCCACTACTGTAGAATACAAAGACAGACATGTCAGACAAAATATGTCTGCCTGCAGACACCTAGTGTTTTTCCCCCTCTGGTGTGGAACAACCCACAGAGGGAGGGCTGCATGGACCAGCAGCTCTGGTACAGGATTGCAGAACCTTCCACAGCCCCTCCTAGACTCTCCCTCTAGAATGTATTCTCTTAGCTTCTGATCCCCTGACTTCTTTCACAAAGCAGTATACTTTTATCCCAATCCCCAAAGACTTGTGCAGGGCTATCGTCATCGTGTTCCCCCCCCCGCCCCACCCCACAAACTGTCTTCTAAGCTTCCTGGGTCCCAGGCTCAGGACTGTATGGACTTCTCCTTCTCCACCCACGTGGCTGCTTGCTATTGTTTGTAGGGGCTGATTCTACCTAGCACAGAAACTTGGCTTCTTTTTGCAGAGCCTGAAATTCAAGGCCTTATCTAAGTCTGGGTTGGAGGAGCCTCCAGCTAAACCTTGTCAGTCCGGCCAGCTTGTCCTGCTCCTAAGAGCCCTCTTTACCTGGGACACCCCTTCTGAGCCCCTGCTGCCTATGTGAAGGGCAGTTCAAGGTCAGTGAGACACTTGCAGATTTCCAGACGCAGCAGTGCTATCTCAGTGGATTCATTCACCAAGGAATAAAAAATAGTTGGGGAAAATACCTCCTGTATTGCCATACAGACTTTTTTCTTGTCTTCATTCTAACCTAAACACTACAGTGTAAGCATTTACATTCTATGAAGTAATAGAAGAAACCGGAGCTGGATTCAAGTGCTATTTTATCTAAGGAATTTGAACATGAATAGGCTTTGGTATCTGTAGGGAGTCCTGGAACTCACCCCCTCACAGGGCTAAGAGATGACCATCCTGTCTCTAAAGCTAAGTGAAGGGCCTCCTGTCTGCTATTCAGAATACAAGAGCATAGGTCGGTTCTTGAGTCCTGGACAATAGAAAAAGCCCACAGCCTCTCAGAAGCACCTCTTGCGGGGGGAGGGTCACCAGGCTGTGTGGGAAACAAAGAATAATCTCCAATCTCCATGTTGCACAAAGGAACACACAAGGAGAAAGTAGCTTGACAAGATCCAGACAAGGCTAGCAATACCCTGGCCAACACGAATCCCATCTTTTATCCCTGACAGGTGATGACAGTGTCTCATCCCATCTGTGGCAGCTCCACTTCACAATCTGATGCCATTGGCTAATCGGCACAAAGGAGTCAGGGAATACTCGGAAAATATGAGTACTTGTTGACTAACTACCTTTGATAGTGTTTCTTACATTTGCACCAAAGTCCACTATGAGATGATCGGGATTTGGAGGATTCACGGTAGCTTAGTGAGGGCTTCTGCTAAGATGAAGCATCATGACCCAAAGCAACTTGGTGACAAAACAGTTTGTTTCCTCTTACAGTTTGTAGTTCATCATCCAGGGAAGCTGGAGCAGGAACCTGATGCAGAGGCCATGAAGGAGTGCTGCTACCGGCTTGCTCCCCATGGCTTGCTCAGCCTGCTTTCTTACAACATCCAGGACCACCAGCCCAGGGATGTCAGCAACACAGTGGGCTGGACCATCCCACATCAATTACACAGGCTTGCCCACAGTTCAGTCTGGTGGGGGCATTTTCTCAATTGAAGTGCCTTCTTCCAAAATGACTCTGGCTTGTTTCAGTTGACAGAAAACTAGCCAGCACAAGGTGAAAAGTCAAGATATGTAAGAACAAAAGAATAAAGCCTTAGACCAGGCTGGTATTAACCAAATGGGGTGGGGTAGGGCCTAGTAGTTACCCTGGGGTAAAATCCCAGACTCTGGCTAAAGCCTCCTGTGTCAAAATCTGGACTATCACCATGGTGGTTTAAAAGAAAATGACCCCCAAAGGGAGCAGCACTGTTAGGATGTGTGGACTTGTTAGAAGAAGTGTGTCACTGTGGAGGTGGGCTTTGAAGTCTCGTTTATGCTCAAGACACATGCCCTGTCTCAGTTCATTTCCTGTTGCCTGTGGGCCAAAGATATAGCACTCTCAGCTCCTCCTCCAGCACCATCTCTGCTTGCACACCACCATGTTGCACCATGATGACAATGGACAAAACCTCTGGAGTGTAAGCGACCCAATTAAATGTTTTCTTCTTTATAAGAGTTGCTGTGGGGGGCTGGAGAGATGGCTCAGGGGTTAAGAGCATTGTCTGCTCTTCCAAAGGTCCTGAGTTCAATTCCCAGCAACCACATGGTGGCTCACAACCATCTGTAATGAGGTCTGGCGCCCTCTTCTGGCCCGCAGGCATACATGCAGGCAGAATACTATACATAAATAAATNTAGGTTAAAACATAGGTGGGAGGAGTAAACAGAATAGGATGCTGGGCAGAAAAGGAAGTGAGGTCAGACTCTGCTCAGCTCCCGGAGAGACTCGACAGCTCTGCTCTGGAGCAGAGACGCCATGCTCTGCTCTCCTGATAGCTCTGATCTCTGAGGCACATGTGATGAAGCTCCGACCCAAGATGGACATAGGTTAGAATCTTCCCGGTAAGCGCACCTTGGGGTGCTTACACACATTATTAGAAATGGGTTAGAACAATATGTAAGAGCTAGCCAATAAGAAGCTGGAACTAGCCGGGCCAAGCAGTGTTTAACAGAATACAATTTGTGTGTTGTTATTTCGGGCATGAGCTAGCCAAGTGGTCGGGGTGTTGGGGACGCAACCCCGCCACTGCTCCTATTTCAACAATATATAAAACAGTTTTCAGAGGATTCCTTCCTGAGATGGCCTTTGGCTGAACAATTAATTTGGCAAGACTGTTGAAGCTGGCATATTGTATTTACTTGTATTACTTGCTATGCCATGTCTGCAGCATGGTGGTGCATGCCTTTATTCCTAGAACTTTGAAGGCAGAACAGGCAGAGTCTTGTGAGTTTGAGGCCAGCCTGTCTACATAGAAAATTCCAGACCAGTCAAGAGTACATAGTGAGACCCTGTCAAGAAGAAAGGAAGGGAGGAGAGAGAGAGAGTGAGGGGGGGGAGAAGGAAGTCTCAATGAATCCAGTGCCTACCAAGGGTTTAAGCAGTGAAGACTCTTTCACACATTAGAACTGTGGGTTTCTATTAAACAGAAGTTGTGTCACTCCAGTGTCTTCTGTCCTTAGAGGAAGGCTCTCTTCCTGAACCCAGAACTCAAATACTTTAGCAGGCTGGCTGTGTGGGAGAATTGTCTGTAATTGTCAATCATGTTATAAATAAATGCTGATTGGCCAGGCAGGAAATACAGGTAGGAAAACCAGACAGGAAGTAGAAATGATGTAATGAGAACAGGAGAATTCTGGGAAGGAGGAAGTTGATTCCTCCCACTCCTGCCCAGACCACCAAAGCAGCAGGATGTGATCTGCCCCACTGAAAAAAGGTACTGAACCACATGGCTAACATAGATCAGAAAAATGAGTTAATCAAGATGTGAAAGTTAGCCAGTGAGAGCCTAGAGCTAATGGGCCAATTAGCTTTATAACTTATAGAAATCCATGTGTGATTTTCTTTGGAATTAAACAGTTGTGGGGTACTAGGCGGGACAAAAAACCCAACAAACAAACAAGCCAGCCCCCTCATGTTACAGAATGGCACCCAACGTGGATAACTGCATCCACAGAAAGCCTTAGAAAGCTTGGTAAAGACTAGAGTAAAACATTTTGGTTTTCAGCTGTAGCAGGAAAAAAGCTGCTGTTTTAAAATGCCTGCTTTCTGGGCCTTCCTGCCAGGGAAAACTGACTCTTTCAAGCAGGCAGTCCTGACTATGGAGCTATGGATACATTGTTCCAGCTTGCTTCCTGGCAAGAAAAACCATAGGCGCTTTTGACTGTTGTTTACTATTGCAGCTTGCTTCCTGGCAAGGACCTTGAAATGCCATAGAGTTGTGGCAAAAAACTTCTCCATATTCCTTAGCAAATTAAAGACCCATGTGGTCAGAAAAAGAGAGATATACAGTAAAGAGAGATTCAAAGAGGAAGAAAACCTCTAAATCGTTTACATTGTGTTAAAAATATATACAGGCTAAAGGTTAAAGTTCTCAAAGAAATAAAGAGAAAGAGAGAGAGAGAGAGAAGCCTGGGAGGCAGAGACAGACGGATCTCTTTGAGTTCAAGGATAGCCTGGTTTACAGAGGGAATTCCAGGACAAAGATATACAGAGAACCTGTCTCAAAAAGCCAAAAGTTAAAAGTAAAAATAAAAGAAATAGAGGTTAAAATAAAGCCACGTAAAGATGGAAAA